AGGTTATGATTAAAGGGAGCTTGAGGTTGAACGGAGCTTGACGTGAGGTTGAGGTTAAAGCTACCTACATAGATTTAAAATTTAGTGAAGAAGCAAGTACTACCTTTGGCCTTCGACCTTTTGTCGTTTGGGCGGTCCGCGTATGGAGAACAAACAAGGCAGTACTAGCGCAGGGGAAGGCGGACGCGTATAGTGATATTCCAAGCGCGCGTTTCTCAGACCTCAACAGGCCATCGCCAGATCCAACCTACCAAGCTCAATTCACCTGACAGCTGGAATCTTCACTATCAACAAGCCACCTTACTTCTCTTAATCCATCCACAGAGCCCTCTTGAAGACAGTGTTCTTCCGCATCGGTGAGCTCCAAAGCCACCTTATTGACCTTGTAGCAGCCGCAATGAAGCTACCACCGCCAGATAAGGACATCTCCAAGACGGATCTCTGGCCAACCGCTCCTCCAGGCACAGAAAGCTTGTCCCATCGCATCATAGAAGCTAGGACCGATATTCTCCTCGCCATGATCCAAGAAATCCGACTCGACACTGCAAGGTAGGTAGACGATCTCCAGCTGCCTTGACTGGAATCAAGGTCCTCGATTCCAGCTAGATTCCTTGATGTATCTCTCTCAACTAACCTTACTCATCGATAGCATTAAGACACTACTGGTATCTCAACAACGCCGTCGCTCAAGCGCTGGTACTCCGGCAAATCCATCAGATCTAAATGAGGCCTACGGCGAGCATATGTCTACCCTCGATGATGCTGAGCGAGCCCAAATCATCCAAAACCTGGTCGAAACTACGACTCTCACTGAAGCTATCCAGTTTGCCTTGACGCTGTACATGGAGAAGAACAAGGCGATCTACGCAAGAAGATGCAAGGGTACGATCATGGGCGGCGAAGCTGTGAAAGATCTCATCTCCAAGCACTGCATGTCGCTCGAGGAAGAGGAGCGCAAGCAGCTGGATGACTGGGACCAGAACAAATGGTCTGGCTCGTTCCTTGACGCGCAAAGAAGGATGAAGAAGAAGGGTGACAAGCAAGTGGGCGAGAAGGCGAAGGAGAAGGAGAATACAGAAGCGGAAGCGGAAGTGGTAGGAGAGACATCTCGACAGGCAAGTAAGCGTCGGCGTCAACAGATCAGCGATAGCGAAGACGAGGAGATATAACGAGGAAATCGAAGTTATGATCACTCACTCACTGTAAATAGAATGCCGAATCAGAAATCTTGTGTTGTTAATCCGGGTGGTGGTTTTGTTAGTTCGTTATACTGAAGTGCTACTCAGGGGGTGATGATGATGATGATGGTGATGATGATGAATCTCATGGATTAAATCAGGAGCTAGTACTCAGTCTAGAATTATCAAGGACAGATGACATATATCTTGCGGGGCCTTTGTGCAGTACTAGAGCAACGAACTAGTACGAAGAATCTTCGCACTTGCTGTACATGCATGCTTTATGAATCTCGCTTAACAATTGTTAGTAGTCAGAGTCCCAAGTGCTACTTGCCACGTAGGCACTTCTCCATGCACTACTACTCGCCACTTACTAATATACTTACGATTTTGCCTCTATTACGATAGTAAATTGTATATATATATTATATGTAAACTGAATCGTCGGCTATTATTACTCCTTATAGTAATTAGTGGATGTCGCGATACTGAAGAAACTTAGCTATTACCCAGATACTACCGGACTTGTTTCATCTCTCTAGTAGTATAGTGAAGTACCCCGTGGATCAGGTAAGGTACTGTACCTTGTGTAGTGCCTCGTGTAGTAATATACCACGTGCGGTGATGTACCTTGTATAGTAGTATACCCTCATATAGTGATATACATCGTGTAGTGAGACTTTACTTAAAGTAAAGTTTAGTAAATTTTCAAACAGGCTGTATCGTATAAAGAGCCTCGAAGTCCCGAGGACTTAGAAAAATGTAGAGAAGAGAGGAAAGAAGACGTAAATTAAGTGCTTAGTAGTACCTAGGGCCGCATGTAATACGATACCTCACGAGTCACAACCACGCAGGCTTATTACTAACTAATCGTGATCTATCAATAAGTAAAAGCAAATTATAAGATACGGGTAAATATAGAATAAACTTATAGAGTAGAATAAGCTCATAACTAAATAACTCTATTAACTCAATGTTCTTGTAAAGAATCCCATCCATCGCTATTTTCTATACCACCATCCATCCCTAATCGAAGCGTGGATTATTATAACGAGGTCTTTTTGCGCATGGGCTGTCCTGATCTTCACCACGAGGCCAATTGACGGGCGAGGATCCAGATGGGGGACGTGATTGATCATACCCAATGACAGGAAAAGGCGGGGGACTAATTTCTCGACGAATCTCACTAGAATAACCTGATCGGTGGTTGACGTGTCGAGGAATGGCTGGCTGCCTCTGCCAAGGCTGTTGCTTTCTAAGAACTCGATCCGTTTCTGCTTCTTCGGCATCTCTAATCTCATGTCGGATCACTTCTTGATACTTTAATGATCTCTCAATATCGTCTTGTGTACTCGCAACCACCGAAAGTGGTCCGACCTTCCTTACAAAGTCATTAAACCCACGAGTCTCGACTAGTAGTTGCCTTGAATCATGAGGATCACCCATGAAGATTTGGCGAGCATTGGCAATAGCTGGGTTCTTTGCAATAATATCTGATCTCTTCTTCCACTTACTGATCTCTCGTGCAAGATCCGGGTCTGTGATATGGCTGCTCACACGGGAAAATAGCGTGCTTGCATCAGAAGCATCATTAAGTAACGTTGATGTCACTCCGATCAAGTTAATAGACGCTCGGTACATGTCCATGTCGACCAACGGAAGGGTTTTCTGAGTCGCCTGATTAATAGCGGCTGGTGGAAGTGAAGGACTCGATATGACAAGCGGTCGATCTCGACTTTGGCCTGACCCGTTAGGAAGGGGAATAACTGCAGATCTTCCAGTAGGCAAAGGAGTCGATGAGGTAGCGTTTGACGACGATCTGATGACTTGTGATGAAATGGCTAGTTTCGATGAAGATGCTGTGGGTTCTAATGAAATGTCTGGTTTGGATAAGGATGCCGTGGCTTTTGATGAAGTTGCTGGTTTTGATGATGATGCCGTGGGTTCTGA